TGCATTAAAGCACCAACAAGTTTTTTATATGTTTCCAATTTTGTTATATAAATAAATATCACATCGAAATCAATTCAACACCTTTTAATCGGAGTCCTTCTCTTTATTTTAATCATCGTCATGTCCAACATCATCTTTTTTTGTTAAATCCATGGTTATTCTCATCATCTTTATTTACCTCTTTATATGCACTATTACTTATTATTATATTTAACTCATCAAAATAAACCACAAAATAACTATTTTAAGTGATAAAAAAATTTAGATTTTCTAACTTGATAAATAGAACAACTTAATATGAAGCAACTAACTCATCTATGTGAAAAACATTGTCTCTTTCAGACATTTTATAATTGTCATCTCCAATTACTTAGACATGACTTATAGGTTAGGTCGTTTTGATCCCTTATGGTCTCAATGAGCATGAATAAAGGCCTTGAGGTTCATTTTAATTATCGTACATAGCATGCATGGCATGGCAGGATGTCAAAGAGTTGTCACCTATTTGTTTGGTTCAGAGTAACTAGGAGACCAGGGTGAACTTGTCTTATCTAAAATTTCAAGGTAAATACATGGCATGGCAGGATGTCAAGGAGTTGTCATCTATTTGTTTGGTTCAAAGTAACTAGGAGACCAGGGTGGACTTGTCTTATCTAAAATTTCAAGGTAAAGGACTAGTCGTGGCTAGAGAAGGTATTAATGCCTCTACTGCACCTTACCTAAGATAAGGTACATTATGTAATCTGAATATGGTTTAGAAGTATTGATGGGTTCCTTACTGGTGATCCATCTAAGGCTTAAAAAAAATATTTACGCTCATGAATAAATCTAGTATTTTAAAATTATTATAGGTTTGTACGTCCAAGTAAATTCATATAGAAAGAATCTATATAGGTGTCATGACAGGGTTAACCTATCTTAAAAGGCGAAAGTATTTTTCATAACTCTTATATTGTGGTGAAAATACTTCCAATTAAAATTGGTGAACATCCAAAATAATTTTAAAAATTTTCTAGTCAACTCATGGTACTTAAATACTAGTCTACTTCTATATCCAACATTTATACCAAAATGTTAACCAATAATTTTTAGGAATTTAAATTTTTAGGGTTATCGAAATATTAGTCAAATCCTTAAGGAATTTTACAAACTTAATGTAAATTCTAAAAATACAAAAAAAAAACAAAAATATTATAAAATGATGTTAAGAACATTTTTTTTCTATTGTTTTTAAAATGCAATTTTTGTAAGGATTGGGCGAAATGCAACAAGTTAAAAAGTTATTAAAAAAAAAATTACCCTACCAAGTTGACGTGAAACTTTTGGTTTAAACATAAACAGAACCAAAGTTCATGGTTTAACCTGAAAAACAAACCAAAACCTAAACCAGAATCCAAAACGAATCAAACTTAAAAAAAAAAACTCAAAAAACATTTAACATGAACCCAACAACGTGAATTTCAAATCAAACTAGATATGGATAAACTAAGGACACAAATATGTTAAAAATCATACAAGGATCAATACTCTAGCATTTATGCACTTGGATTATCACTCAAAAACCATAATTTTATAAAAATAGGTTTTAGTTCAGAACTAAAATTTTAGGATTAAAACCTAATAAAAACATGTTATTGATGTAAATAAACTCTATATTATTGACTAATCAAGTTGCCCAAAGGGTTTTTAACACGACGAAAAGATTGATGTCTTCTCCCAAGTGCAGGAGTGTC